GGGCCAGAGCGGAAGGAGTCCCCCTTTGCTCTGAGCCATGGGCTGGGCAGAATACCGTGGGCGAGGTGGCTTGGAAACAGCAGCCATGTGCATCTCGTCCTGAAGGCTGACGTCCTGTGTCCGGGCGCGGGCGGACTTGGTGTCTGGAGAGGCGTCTCCTGGCTGATGGATGGCGCCTCTCCCTGTGTGGTCAAGGGGCAGAAGGGGCGAGGGTCCTCTTATAGAGCATTAATCCCACACGTGGGCTGCCAGCCCTACGATCTAGTTACCTCCTAAGGCTGCGCCTGTCCGTATGGAGACCTTGGGGGTGAGGTTTCAAACACTCAGGCCCCGCGCCCTTCCTGAGCCTCCTTCTTCCTCTGAAGTGTGGTCATTCATCCCTTGGCCCTCGAGGGTCACGTGCCCGTCCCTGCTCTCTGTCGTGTCTGTATTGTCCATCGTCCCTCTCCCCCGAGGCTTTGTTTTCTCTAGGAAGCCGGGGTGCCATCCCCTTGGGAAGCTGTTCTGGTCCTCCGGACACACGTGGCTCCCTGCGTCACCTCGCCCGTAGCCACTCACTACCTGAAATGTGGTTGGCGCTGGTTTTGCGAGAGGTCCCCTGGGAAGGCACTGCCCTGCTTCTCCTGTTGGAATCCGGCCGGTCCTCAGTGACCCGCGGTCCCGCGCCCCCTGCCTGTTCTCAGGAACCGGTGAGCCCTGCGGTCTCCTCGGATGGCCCTGCATGGCCTCTCGTGACCACTGACTCAGACTGCTGACTCAGCGATCGTGCCTCACCTCCTCTACATGCTCTCCTGGGACTTTGTGTTGGGCACAGCACCCTCTGCCTTGCCCCCCGCCTGTGCTGTCTCTGCCTGGGCTCCCTCTGTCCTCGCTCTTGGCTGCCCAGACCCCGGCTCCTTCTGTGGGTGGGTTTACCCCAGGGACTGAAGCCATCTGTTTCTTGACTGCTCGTGTCCCCGTCATGTTTCTGAATGTCCGTCCGGACCTCTGACGACTGTTTTCCGAGTCCTTACGGCGCCTGTGCCTCACGGTTTCCTGTGCCCCTTCCCCTCGACCCCAGACACGCTGGCCCTTGTCTGTCTGTGGCGCCGGCCGGGGAGGGGCGGGGCTTGTCTGTACTCCCTCTGCTCTGTCTGCCCTGTTTCCAGGCAGTCGGTGGGCTCTTGGCTCCAGCGCCTCGTCACATCCTCCCTGGCCCTCTCTGTGCTGGCCGATGCCGACGCTGACGTAGGCGCGTCTTCCACCCTTGTGCATTATGGGTGTCCCTGTCGAAGCCGCGTCCGACCTCCTCTGAACCCACCCTGACACTCCAGCCTTCGGTGGTTTCCGAAATGCTGGAGAACTTGGTATCGGCGCAGTCGGACTGCGGTTCTGTGCCCCCTCGGGGTCTCCATTGCCTAGTTATTAATCGGCCCCTCGTTGTGACGGTAAATCCTTCGTGGCAAACACCACACCTTGCACTTCCCCGGGAGCTCAGGCTGTCGATGGCAGAGCCCTGGGCAGGTCGTTGGCGCTCAGAAGAGAACTGGTGATCGGGTGAAGGCTGGTGTCTCCGGGAAGACGTTCACGGGGATCAGGATCTCTGTAGTCTCAGTCTCTGCAGCTGAAATGCCCTCCCGTTTTCAGGAAGGAGCTGTTTTCTGTCTGCCTCCGTGACTACTATGTTGAGAAGGCTTGCTCCTCTTCGGGTCTTGCTCCTACTGTGCTTCTGGCTTTTGCTTTCCTGACTTGATTCTTCAAGCCTCCGCGGTAGGGATGATAAACTTAGGAAGGACAGACTCAGCAGTTCTTTGCGATGCATTTTAGAAACATTTTCTTGCCATGTTTGCACTTGAGTTTCCAAGGTCACAATTACTACATTATTATCATTATTTACTAGAATTATTATTTATCAGTAAATGGCTTCAACATTGCCATTAAAATTTTGACTTAAAAATCTCATTTCTTATAGAAAAGAGAAGGGTATTCTTTTGAGTGCAAACACGGTATAAGTAAGACGTAATTGTTGCAGAACTGGCAGATGGTGTGATGGTTAAGGCGCTAGGACTTGCACATGACTGACTACGGTTTGAGCCCTGGACCTGGCAGCTTGCTTTCTCACTCCCCCCGCCCCTGTCAAATTAAAAAATAATAATAAATACAATTAAAATAATAATTTTTTTTAAAAAGAGAGTTAATTTTTGCTCTGATAGACATTTTAGAAAATGGTCTTAACATAATTCCAAGGTACTTCTCCCTGGTCTGTGAGACAACTAAAGAGGTCTTTACAGCAAGGACTTTAAAAAAAAATATTTATTTCCTAGAGTGCTTATACCTGCCAGAGAGAGACAGAGGGAGAGTCACCCCCATGCGGTGTGGTCACGAAGCAGTCCCTTCTCTGCCATCTCTCCTCTGGGGTTTTGGGCAAGCACGCACACACGCTCGAAGTGTTTCTCAAGCTGGAGGTCCAGGACGGAACTGCATGGTCAACCACCGGGTTCCAGCCTCCTAGTGAGCAGCCCTGGGGCTGGCCCTCCAGCAGGGATTAATGTCACCTCTTACCCTCATCTGGCCTCTTGGAGATATGTGGAGTGTAGACTAAGGAACGCCTCCCTTCTCAGTGACCTTCCCCGTCCAGCTCCACTCGACAGACTGCTGTTCACAGCTCAGAAATACGAATGAGGGCAGGTATGGGTGTGGACAGTGTCACATGGAGAGTTCAAGTCCAGTGTTTCTCTTTCTGAGTACACGGATAACTGAACACAGGGGACCACCGAGTGGCCTTGCCCCAGTGAGACGTCGCCAACCCCGAGCCCCAGAGGTGGTGTTCAGGGCTGGTGACGGGTTGCCCACCTCACCCTCTGCACACTCTCCAGACGGCACTTTGGACCAGCGAGGACTGAAGCTGCAGGTGGGCTAGCCCAGCAATGGCGGGACGGGTCTAGAAGCCATGGCTAGGGGTCCTTTGTAACTGTGAGCAGCCTAGCCGGATTCCGGGTTGCCAGCTAGGATGCGGTGGAGAAAGTACGGGAGCAGCTCTCCAGTGGGTGGGGCAACGGCTGCCGGCTCTGTTTGATCCTCTCCGATCTTAAGCCGGGGGTGGGGGGGGCAGGTGGGCGGTTCTGCAGAATCTCTTTCTTCAGTGGCAAGTGGAGCAAAGGCAGGGAGCTGCCCGTTGGTGTCATGGGGACCTGAGTCCGCGTTGTGACCCCGGGAAAACGCCGATGGACCAGTAGTGTGCCATCATGGCCCATATTCCCGCTGGGCTTCTGTGGGGTGTCAGAAAGCATCGTGAGGCATTTCAGAGGCAGTGACTACGTTTTGCACAGAGGTTCCTGGTGTGCAACCGTGAGGAGGCCCTAAGGACTGGCTAGTTGTTAAAAAAAATAATAATAAAGAAAAGAAAAAATAAATTAGAGAACCAGCAGTTAGCGTAATGGCTATGTCGCTGGACTCCCACGTAGTTGACCGCGGTTCGCGTCCCGGACCTGGTGGCTTAAAACTCACGCTGGGCACATGTGCATGCCCAAGATCCCGAGAGGAGAATGGAGGAGAAGGGATTGTGGTGTGACCATCCCCCCTGGGGAGTGATTTCTCGCTTTCTGTCTCTCTGTCTTTCTCTGTCTCTGTCTGGCGATCCAAAAAAAAAAAAAAAAAGAACCTGGCCAGTCGTTTCCCACGTGCTTTCCCGACGCCGCGTGCCAGACCGGCGGTCCCTAAGAATGGTTTGGTAAGATGCGATACCGAAGTTTCTCACTTAGCACTCATTTTTAAACTGTCTTGCGAGTGGTTAAGTCATGATTTCTTAGTTTTTATTTTTCACGATCTCTTCATTTTTGAAAAACGTGTTATTTTGCACCAGCGCCTCTGGCCACTGCCTGCTGTTTCCTGAGGCGCTGGAGGTCTGTGGCTCTCGGCCCTTCGCAGCCTGGCCTGTTTGCCCTTGTAACTGTGGGCCTGTCCTGCCCCTGTGGGCCTTGAGAGTCCCTGTGGGCTGCTGCCCTGGGCGTGGTCCCAGGGGCTCCCCTCGGGGCTCTGCCCCCTGGCTCCTGCTCTGTGGCAGGAGGGAAATGGACCTGGCTGCCGGGACTGTGTGAGGGTCTGAGGGCCGAGGGCCTTCCTGGGGGTTTGAGCCCCGGGGTTTGTTTCTCTCTTGCTTTGAGCTGATTCCTGGCTGAGCCATACCCGCAGGCTCCATGTCCCCGCAGCTGCTCTACACGGCTGGGGCTGTGTGCGTAACTGGGCTGCCAAAGCCAGACCCCTGAGCAGTCTAGCCCTGGGCTCGGTCACCTTGGGGTTTCCCTTCAGAAGCTCGCTGGTTTCTGTCAGCACCGAGCGTAGTTTACACACCCTGGAGTTTGCAACCTCTCGGCCCGTGTCCCTCGACGACAAGGGAAGGTTAGTATTCAGGGAGGAAGCTGCCCTGGCTGTCCAGTCGGACCCTGGGCCTCGGCCCCCACGCTGGCTCCCCTCGAGCCTCCCCTTGTGTCTCTGGGTGTCCAGGGGCCGCCATGCAGAAAGGCTGGGATGTGGGCAGCGGGCTGTGGGTGGAGGGGCCTGCCCGGGGTGGAGGGCACGGGTGCGGGAGTGAGGGAGCTGTCTGCACCGCCGCCCACCTCCGTAGTGTTCGTGCTGTTTTGAGCACCCGTGGTAACTGTGTTCTGGTCGTTCTTCCACGGGAATGTCTGAGCGGACAGGGCAGTGATGGAAAGCGTGGAGTAACCGTGGAATCGGCGTGGTGGGGCTGCAGGTCCTGGTCTCCAGCGTGGCTGCCCAACTGGTCCACCTCTGGGGACCGGCAAGAGCGAGGCTGACCTGGACATGCCGGGGGAGGTGGGCGCCGTACACTCCGGCTTGGTGTTTCGGCAGGTCCTGGTCGAGCGCTTCGGCCTCCGTCCTGGACTAACCCCTGTCACCATCGTTTGTCTCAGGGGTGCAGTGGTCGCTGAGCACGCCACCGAGCACCCTGTTTACAGTGGAGAGAACGTTCCCGCTGCTAACGCTGGTGGTTTCTGTTTCAGGAAGACTATTCACGAATGTGTTTTAAGAAAAAGTTTCCCTTAAGACACAACACAAAGAAAAAAGGTACGTCACGTAGATGTCAGAACCTTAGAAATGTGTACATTCTGTGATGACGAGCCGCGGACGACTGTTACGGACAGCAGGTTAAAGTTTGTCTGGTGAAACATCAACCATGCAGAGATCACCCCATGGGAGCAGATTTCACTCCCTGCCTGCTATCTCTGCCCCGCCCCCTGCATCCCTGTTACAACACTCCAAATCAGAAACGCCTTTCTTAAATCTTGCTGTAACTGTTCACTTATAGTCGTAATTCTCCACCTTGGTAGCTTTAAAGTGGTTTCCAAAGAGTTCCCACGTGTTGGCTTGCTGGGGTAGCCCAGGAGCCGTGAAGAGCAGGGAAGCACTTGGCAGGTTAACCAGCATGTCTGGGGAGGTGCTTAGAAGGAGGACCTTCTGGAGTGTCAGCTGTCAGCTCCCTATTATGTAAGTGAGCATCTTACAGCCGAGGAAACCGGGGCACAGAGACAGGAGGGCCCTGCCGGGGTGCCCCGGCTGCTTCCTGTCACTTCCTGTGTGGGCCGAGGCTCGAGGTCTGTGTGCACTGGGGGAAAATCCAGCGGCTCGTCCCGAGGTCTCCCCTGTGGCTGAGACCTTGGACCACAGCTTTTGTGTTCGTGGATATGATTTGGTCCTCAAAATAATGCATTCGTGGCCTTCTCTTAAAGCCTCTGTGATCACGGTGTCCTGGGAGGTCAGTGGCAGCGGGGACTCCCGTGCCCCTGCGCGTGGTATCTCTGTGGCTGGTCCCCTCTCTTGGCCTTCCGGGTCTGTACTCGGTGTCCCTCCGCAGGAGGGCCTGCATGTTGGGCCTCTCGAAGAAGGATGTGGGAGCGTCTTTGCCAGAGGGGAGGTTGAAGGGGACCCTACACACTCATGGGTGGGCAAACCACCCCATCCTGTGGGGACTGGCACCCTTGGTCACACTAGGCGACTTCTCGTAGCACTAACATGTGGTCAGGATTAGACAGCTGAGCCCTGACAGGAGCCGTGAGGGGACAGGACCTTAACAAGAGTGGCCCCAAGGTCATCTGTGGTGGGGGACGGCGCTCGAGTCGTGTTGGGCCCCGAGAAGCCGTGCCAGGAGGGCCATGGCTGGGGCAGGGGCGGCTTTATGTCGGAAGCAGTGTGGGCCAGCGAGCTGGGTGAGGGAGGTGTCGTGGGTGGCATGAGAGCTCCGTGTGGGAGGTGACCCTCCGTCCTGTCCGTTTTCTGTGGACCGGGGTTAAAGGCAGGTGACAGGGCCTGGCTTCGGGGACCCCCATGCCTTGTGCCACTTTGAGTCTCCGTTTCAAAATTCTTCCAATGTCGACAGTCCCTGAGTCACAGCCTGTCAGCCGCTGTGGGAGGCTGGGGCGTGTGTGCAGCGGCTTCCCCTTCCCGGCCACTGAGAGTGCGTCGCCGGTGGGTTACATGGTCAGCAGATCACCAGGAGGTTTCTGTTTGTTTCCAGGAAAAGAGGTTTGTAAAGTGGACCCCCAGATGCTAGAGCGCGAAGGGGGAGCTTGTACCACGCAGGAGCAGACGCGCCCCTGGGCTCCCAATTGCTGCCTGGTGACCAGAGAGGGATAGCTGGGCACCGCGGTGGGTGTGAGGGATTCC